TGCATTGCAAATCAGGAATAAATGGAGCAGGCACAAACCAATGTTTCTCAAAATCTTTCTATAGGAAAGAGGATGATTCTTGGAATCTATGAGTTTCTAAAACAAATTCAAAGCCATCAGCTTAACAATGTAAATGACTTTAAGCCCAGCAAATAAATAGAAACAGCAGTGACTGTTGACTTGATGAAGCTCTTTGTGTACTAGGTATTGTGCTAGATATTTGATGTGCACTGTCTCACTGGATCCTTCCAGTGATCCCATAACAAAAACTCAGCCATTACTCTCAATTTACAAGTGAGAAAAGAAGAGGCTCACAGGACAATCACTTTATCCAAGATCATCTGAGCAAGAAGTAGGACAATCTAAGCCATACCACCTTGTTTCTGTGTGAGTGGAATTTCATTTACAAGCTTGCCTGAGCCCCTATTCAAAACTGTCACTGTTATTATCTATTGTCTTTCCCTACTCCTTCCTGATCATTCTACCACCACAAGTGACACTGCACACAAAGCATTGTTTGTGAAGCCTGAGAGGAAAATCTTCATTTACAAATAAGAGAAACACTATCTACCAGATACGACCTGGCACCTGCTACCATATATGGCACAGAAGGGGACTGCACAAATGTCTCTTGAACTAAATTGAGATCAGCTGAATGAAAGGAAATAGTCAGTGTGTAATCTGGCCATGTTTTGGGATTTCCTAGCTGCCAACTAACATGATCATTCTCTCCAAGAAGAAGTTAGGTCTATGCCAACACCCTTGGCTATCCTGCTAACTTGCCACTAGCCTCAAATTGCTTAAATGAGAGAAAGATTATCAAAAGGCAGGAGAGAGAATGACGATCAGCTATAAACATGCCACTCGCAAAGGGAAGTGGACTCTCTATAGTGACAAGGTTATCATTTAATACATGTCCATGACATCCCATTTGAGCTTGAAGACTAGAAGTAGGTCTTTTTCTCAAAATAACCTTTTTTCCAATGAGAATAGTAGATTATAATTTATATTTTTTGTGCAACAAATTTGAGTGTCATAAAAATGGTTAAAAAGTCTTCCTATGGTAGCTTTTTCTAAACTTTTATGAACATCTGCCACATTCATTTGAAGTTTAAAAAATTCTGGCACATATGCAAAGGCATAATAAGGTGCCTATAGCTTTCAAGAAAAAATAAGACAGTCAAAAATAAGCCTTTTGCTGAATTGCCAGTAGAAAAACTAGTGTAGTGAGAGGAGATGGGCCTCCCCAACTCCTTCCTTAAAGAAGTCTCTTTGGCCCTAGGTTTGTGCTTCTTCCCCAGGGTTATAGCTCATGTTCCTGTGGGAATCCTTAAGAGAAGCGACTCTAAACCTGAAAGGCATGACACAGCCAGACCAATCCAACTAGTAAACACAATAGAAGCCTCTTAAGTCTGAGCTCAAATCCAGGCAAAGAGAACAGGAGAGAACCTTCTAAAATTTAATAGCATGTGGGCTGTCTGGTGCATGTAGAAATGCTTTTGTTCAGAAGGCTGGCTCAAGGGCGGGGCAACTACTATTTTTGTTTTCCTTTTGGTGCTAGTCACAAACGAGCACAGCAGAGTAAACTCAGTCAATCAATTAGGCCAAAATTTATCTTGGCTAGTGCTTCCTGACCCTCATCAATGAAAGCCCTTCAAAGGTGGACAAACAGACAGACTTGTACCTGTATTCCTAAGTGCAAAACAGTTTCAAGTTTTAGCTTGAAAAAAAAAATATATATATATACTTTGTACTGTATGTTTTTCCACAAAAGGCCTTGCATTACATTGCTTATAACAATGAAAAAACTTGCCTCCCTTGTCTATGCAAATTTACGACATTTGGTTACCTGGGAGAAGTGAGGCCAGTAGGAGAGCTTCTAAATGTGCTCTGAGTGACAGCTTCCCATGCACTCACTGCGCCCTTCTCAGAAAGCTGTGGCTCAGCAATACTGCTTGCTTGGTTGGCATCTGCTAAGAGTGCTGAGGCCACCACAGTGACTCCTGCTCCAGGGGATGATGAAGAGGGTCAGAGAGGCAAACAGCCATAATTCAGAGCAAGAAATTCTATATGTAAAAGAAGACCAAGGAGGCTTCTTGAAGTGTCAGAGAAGGGCACAGCTTATCCAAGCAGACTGGCAATGCAGATCTATTCAGCCCAAGCACTGGTAACAAGCATTTCCGCAGTGATGAGGCCGAAGGCTGGGCTGCAGTGGAGAACCCATGTGGAACTTGAGGGCAGTTCACAGCAAGCATGGAAGGTGGCCTTCTACTCCATGTGGACACTACAGACTAATCCTGCATTCATCTTTATACCTACAGAGTAAATGCTTGGAATAGAGGGGCATTATGAGGTTATCTAATGAATGAACAAGGTTTTGCAAAGAGAAATTTAATGAAGAAGAAGTGTCAATGAGGACAGTGAGGAAAAGGGTAAGAGACACTTCAGGCACCTAGAAAATATTTAGAGAGAATGGGTGAGGAAGAGGAGCGCTCAGCTATGCTCAGTGGGCCCCACTTTGGTACTATTCATAGGGACTGGGGCAAGGAGTGAAGTTGCTCAGTGCTTTATGTGTATTTACACAGCTAATAAATTGCTGGGAAAAGACATACATCAAGGTGAATTTCAATTGGTTCTAGGAACCAATATTCAGAGCGGGGCAGAGCACCATTAGAATCACAGTTGAGAGTCATGGACTCTGAAACATAAGCCTTAAACAAGAGGCCTGGAGGGCAGAGAGAAGACCAGTACTTTAAGGCTAGACATTTGTGAGAGTGCTGACGGTACTGGGACACACAATGCGTCTGAAAAAGCCTGTCCTAGAGCAGCCTGGAAGGCAGGAGAAAAGGCAGGAGGGAATTGTGGACTACGATAGACCAAATAATATTTAGATGAGTGTTCCTAACTTGACAGCAACTGGCACAAAAGGTCCATTAGAAAAGCACTCACTCTGTGGGTGTGTGTGTGTCAGAGAGAGAGAGAGAAAGAGAGAGAGAGAATCTTAGCACTTGAGCTTAGGGCCTAGGTAATGTCCCTGAGCTTTTCCTTGTTCAAGGCTCACACTCTACCTCTTGGGCCACAGTTCTGCTTCTGGACTTTTTGGTGGTTAACTGGAGTCTCATGGACTTTCTGCCTAGGCTGATCTCTATTTGATCTGATCCTCTGATCTCAGCCTCCTGAGTAGCTAAGATTAAAGGTGTGGCCCACTGGCCCCTAGCTTAGAAAGCATTTATTTTTTAGTTTTTTAAATACATCCTCCAAGATATGTAGTCTATAAACTGGGTATTCTATATGCTTTGGGTTAGGTATGGTCCATAAAATAAGTACTGTAGGTGTTTTGAGGTGTGTATAGATCATAAAGTGAATACTGTGTTTTGGACTGGGTATAGTACACAAATTGAGTACTGTATGTGCTCAGGACTGGGTGCAGTGCATAAACTGGGTACTGTGTGTGCTTCGGGCTGAGTGTAGTCCATAAACTGGGTACTGTGTGAGTGTCAGGCTGAGTGCAGTCCATAAACTAGGTACTGTGTGTGCTTTGGGCTGAGTGCAGTCCATAAACTGGGTACTGTGTGTGCTTCCGGCAGAGTGCAGTCCATAAACTGGGTACTGTGTGTGCTTCGGGCTGAGTGCAGTCTGTAGACTGGGTACTGTGTGTGCTTCAGGCTGGGTGTAGTCCATAAACTGAGTACTGTATGTGCTTTGTGCTGGGTGTAGTCCATCAACGGAGTACTGTATGTGCTCAGGGCTGGGTGATGACAGGGAGGGACTGCTAACAGAATGGAGAAGCCACATGGCCATCCTGTCAAATTAGAAATTTGAGCAGATTTCTGTGGTCTATTTTGATCAAGATTCTCAATGTCAAACAAACAGGTTTTTCGATAACCAACTTGTTTCATTTTCGTAAGCACAATAGCACAGTGTGCAACAGTTAGTGGAGAAGCAGGTGGTCCTCGTCGACGTGAAATGAGGGGAACAGAAGAAGAGAAGTAGCACTTCCTTTAAGGCATACAAAGTACCACCACAGGCCGCCATAGCTGTAGCTTTTCTCTAAGAGCTCATCTCCCGTACCACTCAGCCAACCAGCCCCATCCCATTCTGCTCTTGTACAAAGGTCTACCTTGGGGTTCATGTCTACAAACTAAGAACCCTTGCAGAAAAGTCCTTTAAAATAACTGTTATCTAATTGGTACAGCCACACAGAAAGCAATCTGGCATCTGATTCCTAGCTTTGACCAAGCATTTCTACTTTAGGGATTCTATGCTAAGGAAATAAGTCAAAATGCAGATAAAGCCTTATGCATAAAGATGTTCACTAAAATGCTATTTATAACAGTGGAAAAAGTGATAAACAACCTAAGTGTCCAACAGTAGAAAATTGGTTAAGTTGTGGTATATCCAAATAATAGAAATGACAGGTAGCAAATTGTAAATGACTGAGAGTAGATAAAAACATGTAGAAATGCCATAATGTGAAGTGAAATAGACATAAAATTATATATCCCAGATCAATTATGCACATTTATAAAAATATATATTCACAGAATAAAAATGAGAAGACTAGTAAAATGCTAACAGCAGCTCAATCTGAAATAATGCACTGTGGATAGTTTTAATTTATTTCTTCATATTTCTATATCACATTTCCTATAATGAAAATGTAATACCATTACAGTGATTTAGAATAAACATCATTATGAAAATGAATCACTTCCTTGTTCAAACTCTCATAGAACCTTCTCTTCCTGTCTCTCTGTCCCTAACTCACTCACCCTGGAAAATCCACCATCTCCAAGAAAAAGTGAAAGAGCCCTGAACACTAAGGCCAGAGAGAAGAGTCTAAGTCAAATGCTCAGCTCTGTGTATCTGGGAGGGCAATGTACATGAGCTGTTGCTTCAACCTCTCTCTGGGTTGTGCATCCTGAGACTGCATTTTTCTACTTCATAAAGCAAAAGAAAACCCCATGTCAGGCAGTAGAAGGGAAAAGAAGCCAACTTACCTCCATTAAACTTAAATGGATTCCTATGAGGTAGGGCATGGGAGCACTGTGAAGAGAAACAGAGACACACAGCTGCTTTAATGTCTGTTGCTTCCGACAGAAAATTACAGATGGTTCACTATTTGGAGAGAAACTGTTTTAATAAACGTATGCACAGTTACATTTCCTTTCACAACAAAAATCCTAATATGACATTTTGTTCCCAAGCCTAGAAACTTCAGAAGAATTTCAAAATTCAGGCAGCACTGGAAACACTATGGATAACAGGAAGAGCATCAACTTCAATGTCAGTTCTCAAATAGCAGTGAGGCAACAGCACGTCCTCAGTCACTTTATCTTTGAAATGGTATACCAGGCTTGACCTGGCATGCTGTTATTAGAATGAGGAAAGGAAAAAAAAACGAGGCCAGGCTCTGATGGCTCACGTTTGTAATCCTAGCTACTCAGGAGGCTGAGATCTGAGGATCAGGGTTCAAAGCCAGCCCAGGCAGAAAAGTCCACGAGACTCTTATCTCCAATAAACCACTCAGAAAACCGGAAGTAGTGCTATGGCTCATGTGGTAGAGAGCTAGCTTTCAGCTGAAGAGCTCAGGGACAGTGCCCAGGCCCAGAGTTTAAGCCCCATGACAAAAAAAAAAAAAAAGAGCTGGGCACCAGTGGCTCAGACCTGCAATCTTAGCTCCTCAGGAAGATTGCCATTTGAAGCCAGCATGGGCAGGAAAGTTTGTGAGACTTTTGGTTTTGGTCATAGGGCTTGAACTGTGGGCCTGGGCACTATCCCTGAGCTCTTCAGCCCAAGGCTAGTGCTCTACCACTTTTGCCACAGTGCCACTTCCAGTTTTCTAGTGGTTTATTGGAGATAAGAGTCTCGTGGACTTTTCTGTCTGGGCTGGCTTTGAACCCTGATCCTCAGATCTCAGCCTCCTGAGTAGCTAGGATTACAGGCGTGAGCCACCGGCACCCAGCTTGTGAGACTCTTATTTCCAATAAACTACCAAAAAGCCTGATATGGAGCCATGGATCAAATAGTAGAATGCTAGTCTTGAGCAAAGGAAGCTCAGGGACAGTGCCAGGCCCTGAGTTCAAGCTCCAGTACTGGCACAAAAACAACAGCAAAGAATGAGACAAAATGTACTTCAAGTGACTAGTAGAGTTCCTGATACAAATGGGAAGTGTGATTGCTAAAATTATAATGGAAATAAGTTGCAGTCCCATGATGGGCTTATTAGGTTTCAAAGAATGATTTTTTTATTTGCTGGGCACAGTAGCGCAGGCCTGTCATTCTAGTTACGAGGGCCGAGGGGATCAGGAAATCATGGTTTGAGGCCAGCTCAAGGAAAAGAAAAGATCATGAGACTCCATCTCAACCCATTGGATGAGAGTGAGAGTATGTACCTGTTAGCTCAGTTACTGGGAAAGAACAATGGCTGGGCACAGTGGTGTATGCCTGTTCATCTCCAAGGACTTGGAGAACCACAAGCAAGAGAATCGAAGGCCAGGCTGACCTGGACATAAAATGAAATTGGCAAAAATAGTCAAGGCAAAAGGAAGCTGGAGGTGTGGCTCAACTGATAGTCCACTTACCTAGTAAATTGGAGGCCCTGTGTTCAATCCTCATTATTGCCAACACAAAAAGAGATGGCACCTAGCTGTCCATTCTGGCTAAACAAAGTATTTGGAAAGCTGCTGGCAAACTACTCCACCCACGTGGCAAACATGCCACTCAGTAACATTATAGTTCTTGAAGCAATTGTTTCTCTCACAGAGCATCAAGTGCCCTCCCCCTCCCCCATATCAGTCATTGAGCAAGAGGATAAGAACCTCACTGCCAGGTTTTTTTTACCTGAGTATGCTGGAGTGACCAGTTCTTCCCCTTTGTTTTCAGGGGTCTGAAATGGGTTCATATAACTATTATTATACAACTATGAATAATGCTCCCTACTAATGGAAAGTGTGTTAGTGATACATCAACACTCCCCCCCAGCCCGTTTGTGAGGCCTGAATTCTGGGCCTGGGCACTGTCCCTCAGCTCTTCAGCTCAAGGTGAGTGCTCTACCGCAGCTCCACTTCTGGTTTTCTAGTGGTTTATTGGAGATTAAGAGTCACACTGGACTTTCCTGTCCAGGCTGGCTTTGAACCATGATCCTCAGACCTCAGCCTCCTGAGTAGATAGGATTATAGGCATGAGCCACAGGTACCCCACTATATCTACTCTTGAATTCACCTTTTCTAATCTACATAATCCTCCTATTTTACAAAGAAGGAAATAGACTTGAGTTTAAGTCATTTGTCTAAATCAAATGCCACAAAACCAAATAATATCCTTGGGCTTTGAGCCCAAAGGGTGCACATTCCTTCCTTCAGGCCACACTGGCTCTAGACTATGGAGCCTACACTGCCCAGGCTCACTACCCACATCATTGCTTTCTTGAGGCAAGGAATGATTGGTGACTTTTCCAAGTGTTATATCTTATACACGTGTTTATCTTATAAATTGTGCAGGGGTATTTTTTTTTTAGGACATTAGATAAAAGACCCTGGGCTCATAATTGGAGGATCCTCAGTGGCAGCTGGGAGGGTCAAAGTGGGCAGGCAAGGATAGTTCCTTAGAAAGAGTTTGAGGAACAAGGAAAGGTAAATAAGGAGGTAAGGAGAGGTTTTTTTTTCAATAGAATATGAAGGAGTTTAGGGGCTTGTTTGTTTGGTTTTGTTTGTTTGTTTATTTTGTTTAGGAGTGTAAGTTGTATCCAGAAAGCAATGGTGAAGCAACAAAGCTTTTTAAACATCAGATGTACATTTGAAAATTGTTCAAAAACTTAAAAATAGAAAGGGCACAATTCCCTCATTACTATTCAACAAATAAAATTCTTCAAGCAAAAACGATTCCCCAGAATATAAACTGTCTTAATACATATCTCAGCAGTCATGTATTTTGAAAGCCTGAAAAGTAACTTGAATATTAGCAGCAATGTTTGAGGAGTATTCTTCTAGAAGACTTCTGCATTTGTTAATAGACAAAGAAAGAACTATATGTACAACTATAGTGAAAGTAGAGCTGTGCTTTTCTTTCACAAATTCTCTTCTTTTGTTTTGCCTTTTTTTTTTTTAAGGGTGTCTGCCCAGCACATTCTCTTTGCTTCTAGGAGCAGGGAAATGCCCTGTGATATTTTTTTCCCCTTAAACTGTAAGCCATTAGCTTAGCTGCCAGCCACACAAATCCTCCAACTTCCCAGTGTGCCTGGCTCTGTTGTCCAAGTTTTTTTCCCCTTCTTCTTCAGTATATGCTGAAATGAATGTGTTTCTAATTAAGTAGCTTCAGGAACATGACAGCTTCAATGTCAAAAATACAAAGTCTAAACCCCAGCAGGAAGTCCTAAAACTGCAAATGTCTCATTGAGTGGAACCTTGCCTAATGTAATGAAAGGAGGCAGGAAGAGCACAGAATTCCAGAAAAATGGCCACTTAATGTGTCTAGAAGCGCAGCTAAACAGAGAATGGAAAGCTCAGATCTGTAATATTTAGCTAAACCTCAGCAGCTAGACCATGTAAGCAAGCAACTGATCAGTCACCATGAGTTTCAACTAGAATTTCAGAGCTGAAATCCCAACAAACAAGTTGACATGCAGAAAAAGACATTCAAATAACTGTGAGATAAAGGTGAATACTACCTATAGCCTAAGCCCTCTGAATTTAACCATAGGCTATTACTTGGAAAAGAAATATTTTCTAGAATTTTAAATAGGTAGGTTTTAATGAAATGCTCTTTTATCTGCAATAAAAATCAATGATACCCCAAGTAGAGATTAAGCCTCATAGAAGAGGGTACAGATGGAAAAAGGGACAAAGTGGAATAGTTCTTCAGGCATCTTTAGCATTTTTTAAGCCCAATAACTTCCCCAAGAGCAATTATAGTTATCACAGAAATATAGTTTCTTAGTCAACTATTGTTAGGACTACAACAGTTCTGTATTTAGAAAATATCTGAAACACATTCATTTGAAAATCATGTTTTGTATGAATGCAAGTTTGGAGAAATACCTTTCCCTGTTGTTATCATTTGCTTACAAAGCCTCAAATACTTCCAAGAATCTATGGCAATGTTACCCTGAAAATATCTAATTACAAATCCTTGGTATGGGGAGGGACTGGAAAGAAAAAGAAGCTCAGAGATTCCTTAACACCTCAGTGTGCCAAGTATGTACCTTGGTAATTCTTAGGTATGTCCTGATAACAATTCCTATTGTTACTATGCCAGAATAATTACTGAAGATTCATTATCTTGGAAAACTCTTTTGCTCAAGGCTAGCACTCTACCACTTGAGACACACACCGCTTCCTGTTTTTTGGTGGTTAACTGGAGCTGAGTCTCCCAGAATTTTCAGCCTGGGCTAGCTGCAAATCAGTATCCTCAGATCTTAGCCTCCTGCATAGCTAGAATGACAGACCAGTGCTCAGCTAGAAAAAGTTTTGGAAAAAGATATCTACTTATGATTATATCATCTCAATTTTGCCTTATACTTTTCTAATATCAGCCAACATAAATTGTTTTATATCTTTGAAATTAATTGCATATATTTGATTGTTTTCTCAGTGTCCACATCAACTCTTTCCATATTATACTACAAGTTTTGTAATTGTTAAGGACCATATAATATGCAATCAAATTAATCCTATCTCTATAGTTAGATAATAAGTCACTTCTTTTCATTAATGCAATACTGAATTGAAAATGAACGCCTTCAGATGCATGAGCTCCCAGACATTGAGTTAGTAAGTCAGAGGGGTTAGGCTTGTTTTTGTTTTGTTTAATATCTTGCTATATCCTTACCAAATATCTCTAGAGGGACAATGTGCAAGGACAAGAGACAGTCAAGATGTGCCTAGCACAGGGGCAACATCTGGTAGACACTCAGTAAGCAACTGTCAAGTCCAGAGGGGTTCTCTCCAAGCCCAGTGTGGCTGGCACCATTGGTCCCATTCTACTCTCATTCAGAGAATGGCTTCTTGTTTATTCTTCATTCTGAAGACATCTGGTAAACTGATGAT